TTGTTTTTATATTATTTCTTAGTTGGTAATTATCCTATCCCCAATCTGTTTAGTATGTTTAGGATTTATTTTGCTTTTATGTGCTATCAATATCATTTCTAAATTCCTAACCGCCTTCCTCGAGATATCGACCCGGGGAACGAATCTTTCAATTCGGTACTTGGTAAAAATAACAAACTGTGCTACACCACCATCAACATCAGCCGAGGCCACAAGTCACCCACATTATCAATGGTGATCAAGCCGATCGACACATCCTCACCTGATTAGCGCAGAGATGCTTCTTGGGATTTTTGCAAAAAAATAAAATGACAAGACAATCACATGTAGTTTTTAATGATCCTTGATCGTCGTGTTTGATCACACCGAAAAAGGATGATATGTGCAAAGATATAATATCTTCTCGTGCAAGAACGACATGCCGATCATTTTTTGTTCCTAAGACATGCTGAATAACTTTTATGTCTGCAAATAGGCAACCGAGTCGATCAAACGACATCATCAAACAACAAATGAGGTCTGTCTATAATGCGTATCTAAATTAGCATTTTTTTTATACTAGATGTGTATAGGTAACCAAAGCTACACATGTTCAGATTGTTAGTTTTATTATTTAAATAAGATCACTGCACTGTAATATTTTGATAAGATCACTATCATCCCATACAAAATTCCATGACGTTGCAAGAGACAAATGTCTGCAAAGTTGACACCGAAGTAATGCCTCACTTTATCTGGCGATCACAATAGAAAAATGGGCATACCCCAACCAATTAATTGGAAGTGATCTCTTTGAAGATTCATCGGCTTATCGACAATATTTTCTTTTTTTCTTACAAAGATAAAAAAGTTCTCTATTCGTCGATGATATTCTTTTTACGAGACAACTAGTGATCTAAAAAATATTTCTCCATATCAAAAATTTAAAAGCGGTGAAACCTTTGTAAGGAAAGAGCGATCTTAAACAAGACAACACTTCAATCGATCGACAGTGGATTCTTTCGACTTGGTGATCTTTGCAAAGATGAATGTTCGACAATCCTTCCCTTACGACAAGGCAGCCTCATAAACTAAGGTCGAGCAAAGGTCCCTTTGAAGGCAGACTCTGCATAAATATTTTCAATCGCCTCTCAATTATCAGCAGCGTTCTTCTACTACACATTCACTCATAAACATTCATCGCTGAAAGAAATTTTTAAATTAAAGGCAACGTCTTACAAAAGATGTGTTATCAACCACTTTGAGAATAAACGGCGAATATATCAACTTGCTTTGGTGATCAATACACGTTGATCGTCAAATCGAGTTATTCAAAATCAAAAGTGTTATATATGGTTGTGGAAGCATTTGGGTTATTGAAGTCTTATTTGAAAGTGTCATTTTTTCAACTTTTCATTTCTTTACGTTATCATGGAAAGTTTTATTTTTTTTTAAGCACATTAATGGTAAATTTTAGGGGTGGGCGCGGTTCGGGACAATCCGAGATTTGACTTGTCCTGTTACCCATCCCAAATGGACCAGTATCATTTGGGACCGGGAAAAACATTTAAACTAAACCCAAGAGTATTTGTTTCATAAAAATTTAATCTAAACAACCAACATATTGTTTTCATAAATTTGCTTAAAAACAAACACACTATTCAAGTATTCACTTAAACCAAATTACCATAGAGTGTTGATTCCATAAAAAACACATCTAAGTCACCCCTCACCAGCATCTAAGATCTACCATAAAAAAATGTCTTTAAAATCAAATTATCAAATGCATTGCTTAGTTTGTATTTTTTTTTTTAGAATGTTCAGTTTTGGCTTGGAAAATTGGGCTTTTGTTTTTTTTTTATTTATTACAAATTTAGAATCCTATTCAAGCTCCAATGCTAAAATGACATATTGTTAATTATGTAAATGGTACTAGAATACTAATATGAAATATAATAATGATGTATAATATATGTATATATATATAATATTTTCTACGAAAAAAATAAAATGGGACAAACGGGACGATTCGGGACAAAAATATTCAAAACCGATACCGACATTGTATAAAATGGTTCAGTACCGGGAACGGGACAAAAATAAAGAAATCCTTTTCGGAACATTATATTTCGTAACGGTACCATTTTGGTCAGGTTCGGTACGGGAAAATTCGATTGTTTTGCCCACCCCTAGTAAATTTCAAAGAGTAATTTCTTAAATTTTTCATTTCTTTACATTATGATGGAAGGTTTGATTTTTTTATGAGCATTAGGCTAAAGTTTCTTGCTGTAAGGAGTATGTTATCTTCTGATAGGATATTAGGCTAAAATTAATTGATACCCTAGTTTTATTTTTTATTTCGTAAAGATGAAATCTTTAGTAATTATTCGACCAACTTTGGCTTTATCTAATTAAAAGATATCAATAATATAATTTATATTGTATCGATGAATAGGGGTGGTGGGCAGTACTAGGTGAGCGATAGATAGCAATTCACATTATAATAATTAGGCCCTTCTCTAATTTCCACTAATCAACCAATGAACCAATTTCACGTGTCCCATTCATATTATCACTGGCACAAAGAAAAAGACAAGGCAAAATTAGTTACAAGATCGTATCAAGATTTGGGATAATAAGGTATTTCCACCTAAAAATATCCCGGCACATGCAATCTCCACATATTTTAATTAATTAATTAATTTTGAGATTGTGAATCTAACACAAATAATTAAAGTAATTTGACACAAAAAAAATTCCCTACACATCTTAATAAAAACTATTGGGACACTTTGTATAAATTCTTAGCGTTTTGTAATTTTTTGTGTCTATCTATAGTGTTGTAAATAACTTGGGTAGATCTCGATTTTATTCATACGTTGTACCTAAAAATTTCCGATCACATAGATGACATGGCTCACATTCAGATCTTTGCCCAAAGTGACGAATAAGACCTAAGACACAGAAATCGTATCACAGACAATCCAAGCAAACACCATTAGAGTTGTCGATCACCCAATCAGCAGGTCAATCGCCCGCGGAAGCTTTCCTGGGAAGACTGGCAATCGCCTTTACCATTTGAACACATACACAAAAAATTGATATCGTCGCCTGAGATGTCCAATCAACTTTTGCATGAAAACGCATGGCGCCATCCGACGCTCCTAGCTGGAACCCCACATTTAATGTGTTCCCACCTTTGTGTATAAATACTGTCCATCAAGATCGGTAGAAGCAACTCAACACAAGCCAACCCAGGTCACAACAGACCTATCCAAGCAAAATTCAGCTACGAAAGACCCCAAAATGAGCAATCACGATCCCCACGATCATCACCACTCCCCCCATACTCCGACATATCTGATCTCCAGAAGATGACATACCATAAATCCTCAGTTGTATCCATAATCATACATACTTTCTAATAAAATTCGAAGAAAATATCTTCTTGCCTATCACCACAGCCAATCGGGAAAATTGGTGTCTTGCTTTACTTTTATGCATATTTATTATGTTGCGATCTTCATATTCCGTGTAATATCCCGTCAGTTTATCAGTATAAATCATGTTTTTAGTTCCGATATATTAATATTGTCGAGTATTAATTTTCGGAATTAATTATTTTCAGTCAAAATTACCGGAAATTATTTTCGACGTTCCGTTTACGTTCGGAATAATTTTGGTAATTAAGTATTATGCTTTAAAGTTAATTAAGCATAATTAAGTGATTAATTAAGTATTAATCATGTGTTTAAGCTTGAAGGCCATACGGTTTTATTCCCTAGTTATTAATAGTGCCGTGAGCACTAAGTTGGGAATTAGGAGAATTGATCTCATTTTGGTAAGCATGATGTGTCATCTTTTGGAGCAATTAGGAGATGACTAACCTCAATTTTTTATGACTAAGCTATATGGTTTAATATGTGTCATTAAAGGGTGAAGCCACCAAATCACTCATCACCCCTAATATTTTCCCAATCGGTTTAGTATATAAGTGGGTGTTGGGTGAATTTTTCCCACTTCTTTAGCCATATATCTTCCTCATAAGTTCAGCATATAGAGAGAGTTAGTGAAGTTCTTGGGTATTGCATGCACGCCAAGGAGCAGCAGCCGCACGGCGAAGCAACGCACGCGTAGCTCATCGCACACGCACGCCACACGCGAACGTCACGCACAGAAGCCAATTGTTCCGAACAGTTGGTGCGTTCAGTTAGTTGTTCAAAGAGGTAACTTTGTTTACCTTGAGTGTTCATGCTAAGTCATGTTATTTTCGAACTTTCATGTTCATGGCGTGGCTTTAAGCCGTTCGCCCGTGCGAGTGCATCGCAAGTATGCTTATGTTTTAAGTTATATCTCTCGAGTAATAAGCATGTAGTCAGCTTCTTTATGATATATTATGATAAGTTGTTCAGTATTGTTCGAAATAACTTTCATGTTTAAGTGTCGGTAGGCCGAGGGAAGTGGCCGCGCACGTAGCGCGTGCCACCGGCCGCTCGTGTTGAATGAGTATATTAAGTTCAGACCTTCGAGTATTTCATGTCTAGTTGTTCAGTAAATCATGTTTTATGTTCAGTCATGTGTGATTTGCCGAGAGAAAAGTTAAGTTGGTCGAGAGACGGCCCAACGCTGTCGGCGGCGCACGGTGCGCTCGCCACGACCATAATCGGTTTGTCGTGCAACTTTTATGATTTCAGGTATGTTTCAGTGGTTATGATCATATTATGTCAGTTTAAGTCAGGTTGCACGAGAGTTGTTGCCGGACGGCCGGCAAGGGCCGGCCGTGGCCGCATTGTCCGCACGCAGTGGCAACAGCGCGCCGGCAGTTAGCCGCGC